GCTTTTAGACAGCTGGGTGCAAATTCAAAGGGCCGTAAGGGTAGTTAGTCATCATATGGCAAAGAAAGTGGATCAGTATGCAAATATTTAAAAGGAGAAGCAGCAGCTTCCTATAGTGACCACAAAAGAAATCTGTTTGTCTTTTCCTATTTGTCTTTTACCTGAAAAATCATCATAATATTACCTTTATTTTTTTGGTTATCAAGTTCTCGGTTTCTTTTCATATTCTAAACTCCAGTGACCTTTGATCACCATGATTTCTGGTGATACTGACCTCTTGGCTCAGGTATAGTTTGTCAGATGTCTGCTCTAAAAAATTACTCTTATTCCTTCCTACTTAGTACTATGCTTTTAGCAAAGAAGCTATTCCATAGTTCAGGTGAAAGAGTTATGCTCCATCACCTTGGGGGTCACAATATAAACATGAATTATATAGAATTCCTACATGCTGGGGATTTGTCAATTTTTACCTATTAATTTAATCTTTTTTTTAGGGGAGAGCACGAACACAGTCCTCCACGATCACAAATTGTTCACTCAAGTTTCCCACATTTGGGGAAATTGCCAGGGTCAGCACACCCAGAGTGCAATGATAAGCCTCACCCTGGAAAACCACCTTGGAGATCATGCCAGAGACGTCTACTCAATCAATAATTTATTTCTGTGGGGACTCACGGGTATTTGTGTTTGGATTCTAATTCAATATTACCTTATTTTGTTGCCAAATTTTTCAGTTTTGACAATTGTAACATCATTTCACAGGATCCTATATCCCTTTGGCATATCCCCATCAGTCTATGTATGTATGTTACATGATAAAAGGCTTCAGGCTCATCTTGTACAATAATCTTCCACCCCAGTTCTACAATCAGCTACTTCTCGAAGGAGCCCTGGTTACTTTGACCGGAGAATTGAGTGGCACGAGAAAGCCAGAGCTGGGGACTGGATTGCTCATTGATGCTGAGGTTTCTGTGCTTCTTGGCATTCTCAGGTGACAGAGCTAGAGAATATGTCTATTTGCTAACCCATGCATGTACACATATAGATACCTGTTTGGCTTTTTTTTTTCATTGATAAAAATTATTGAAAATCCAAGCCAAAGTTCTTTACACTAAACTATTTCTAATGAGTCCAAAACACATACTTTGAATTCCCTGTAGGTTTTTCTCAGTGAAAATACTAATACACCTATTTCAAATTATCAGAATAAAAATCTAGCAGGTGTATTTCTTGTTACAAGTGACAGGATATATATACATATATTTATATTCATATAATTTTAATACATGAATCACATACTTTATATATATAAAGTAGGATCAGTCAAATAAAAAGGCCATTGAATGTTCTAGCCCAAGAACACGAGGGTTATAGTGATGATTGTATTCATAGCTAAAGCAATGGTCACATAAGTTCTGTGATGATGAGGTATTGAAGACAGTCTACCTCAAGGTACCTGGCTTGGCATTATATCTAAAGACTGGATCCCAGTCTCACAATATGAGTCTTTCCATTTAACAAATAAGTTCTATAGTAGAATTATTTATATTTGTTAAAAGACATGGAATAATATCCATCCTCTTCAGACATCACAATGATTTGTGAGAACCAGCTAGACATCCCGCTGTAAATGCCTTAATCTTCTTGAAAAAGGGATTGTGTAAGTACATATTACTGCCATCATCCTTTTGAGGTAGAAGATTAAAAACAAGGGCTAAAGTTTATCTATAAAAAGGCATTTTTCTAACAGAGATCTTCTAAAATGTCATCAGAACACTGTGGGTGACCCTCCACATTGCAAAAACCCAGCCATACTTAGTACTCAATTGTGTTTCATGAATATTCATTAAGTGGTCTTAACTATTGTCACCTACATTCAAGCTGGATGTGGCCAGAAAAACACACACAGGGGAACACAAAGCAGTGTGCAGGCACAGCATGATCCCATCTCTGCAGGCTCCAGTGACTGTTCTCTTCTCTTACATTATCTTGATTCCACAAGGCGGAGTGTGGCTAGATGGGAAATAATCTCACTCATCCCTGCTGTACCTTCCTGAAAGCCTTAATTGTGACCAAAGGTTTAAGTTTTCTCTCTGAAAATCGGGCTTTGGATAAATGAAACAATGAATGTCTATCATACAGAGATTTTGTTTACCTAGAGAATAAATCAACAAGACAAATAGAACATTTGGTATTCTAGTCAAGGTAAACCAGAGCTCATGGTGTTGAATCTGAGGTCACCTAGTCAACAAGAACTTATAGGCCTTTGAGGAGGGTGTTTTACTCACAACCCTACAGCAAGCAGCCAGAATGGTTTTGCACAATGGAAGCTTGCAGGAATATTACTGGGGCTAGAGGTGAAGTCCATAAGTGGTAGCCCCTTCAAAGCGATGCAGTAAAACAGGACAAGTCTCTCTTCCTGCTCCATCAGATAAGTATTCCTGTCTGTTGCATTTAACAAGTTTGTCTTCTTGCATTCTAAGGAAAAGGAAGGCCATGCCTAAGAGGATAATATGGAAGTTAAACATCTAAGGAAGTTAAACATTAGGTGTTGACAAGCTAGCTGGAACCTACCTGGAATCTCCGATTGCCCGCATTGAAGGCCATGCTGACCCTTGCCCGTCTCCCTTCTGTTTACTCCTTTACATAAATAACCTTGCACGGTGTCAAAGAGCAGGATGGTGGTCTTCAGACACGAGTCTGCTGCCAGCCTTAGTTTGTTGGCAAGTTACTACTTTCCTTCTCTACAAACCCTGTTTCCTTTTATTGGCTGAGGGAAACCGAGGCAGGTGTTCAGTATCAGAAGGACTGTACAGGTTAAAGCAATTAGGAAAGGGATGAAGTCTCAGATGTTATTCCTAAAGCTGCCTGATCTAGATCTAGTTTTAGGAGTCTCACCCTTGGAGAGCCCCTGGCCATCAGGGTCCAGCCACATGATTCTACCAAGAAAGCAGGGATATCACCTTGTTGAGCTCTCACTTGCCAAATGAAGATCAGCCTCCTGGGCTTGCAGTCATATCTGCCATTGAGGAAAGTTAATGAGAATTTCTCTCCAGAATGTTTGCAGCTGATCTCTAACATACACCCAAGCCTGTTTCATCAATGCGCTCTGACATTCCTTATTTCTGGTATATGTCTCACTCCACATGACCACCACTTGCTAGACTTGCTCATTTAACTGACAGGAAGTCTTTCCAGTTACATTCCTTTTTCTTCCCATTGCCTCTTCCTGACTCAAGTCTCACGATTTCTTCCCTTGCTAACTTCTCAGTTACCTCATTTGCTTGTGCCACCTGTTGCCTGCTGGAGATCTGACTGAAATCAACCTTTTTTTTTAAGATTAGGGAAGTGACAGTCTTTTTTTAAGTTAATGGTAGACAATCTAGCAAAAACTAAAAAAATATGGTATAGGGCCCTCCCTGGTGGCACAGCGGGTTAAAGCACTGCACTAAGAAGCTGAAACCACTTCCACATGAGTTCGATCCCCGCCTGCCCTGGAGGTGACCACATGGCATGGCAGACCTCTCCTGACCCGCCCGCTGCTCCCCTCAGCAGTGTATTTCATCGATCTGCCTGTTCTGCTCCCCACTCTGTCTCTGGTGAAGTCTGAGTCTCTGGCCTGTACCCCAGTTCTGTATGCACAAACAAATAAATCTTAAAAAAAAAATATGGTATAAGAGTGAGGGAGTTGTGCTGGAGCACTCCCTGGTGTGGGTAGAAGGAGCAGGACTAGAATACACAAGCTAAGCAACAGGAGCTCATTGATCTTTGGTGTCTATGGTCAAAGTCCAAGGGAAATCATCCTATAACTCTCTGGGTTCATCTAGACTGGCAAATAATCAAAGGTGTATTAGGCAGATTGAGAAGAGAAAAAGTCAAAGATGTGTACCTCCTGTGAATATGGGGGAGACCCAGCACAACTGAGCAACTCACCCATGTGGCTTTAGACCACCTTAAACAGCTGAGCTAAAATAGAGAGAGCAGGGGAGGGTCCTGCTCCATTAGGGTGCTTTTAGGAAAACAAAGGAATACAGATTATGCCTTCTCCTTAGAAAAGAGACAAGGAGCCTAGGTCTTCCTGGGAGCGGCCATTACAAAGAACTCTACAGATAAATGTCAAAGCAACCTTTACCAGCCTTCAGAGCCCCTCTGATGAAGTAAACCTCTTGCCCAAGACAAATTTTGGGTTGGCAGATTTTTGCTCTCCTATACTGCCATTTTTTTCTAGTCAATCTGAAATCTCCTTGAGGTCAATAAATGTTTTTGTATTTTTTGTCCCACAATAACATCGAAGACAATAATTATTCAGATGATCATCTCCCTCCATTTACCGCTCTCTGTACTAGTAATTTTGTTATAGTTAATTTCAAAACTCTGGAAGAATTTGTATTCTACTTGCCTTTGTATTTCCTTCCTTTTACCATTATCCTACAAAGAATACCAGAAAGGAAAAGCAGCAGCTTCAACTTTTGGCATTTAAACACTAGAATAACATTCCAATTAAGTTCCTTTGGACTTTTTTACACCCCAAAGATCTACTGGTACAATTCAAACTCTCATGGAGTAGAATTACATTAATATAGGTGATTCATAATTGGGAAAAAGCCACCACAAAATGTTTCTATCCATGCTGCCTCCACAATTATTTGATTCTTAATATGTCTGTGGGAAAGTGCAGAACTCTCACCATTAATAAAACTTGTTTACAAAAATCAGTATCGAGTAATCCCAGTTAGGTGTAAAGACATAATGTAAACAGTCCTGGTTCATAACATAAAACAATTCTAATTACCCCATTCACATCCCAACTGAAGCACTACATTGTTATAAAATTTTTACTTTTGAATCAGTTGTTTCCCCTCAAGTGTTACCTAGTTATTAAGGTTGCCCTAGTACAATTAATTACAACATGAACAAGAAGGAATTCTACATTAATAGTCTTACAGATTAGCAGAAAGTCAGATTTTTTTTCTTGAGAGCTACAATTCTTTAATTCCTACCTGCAGATGTTGTCACAATTTCTGTGGTATTTCTGAGGCCCATGAAGTCAAACTGATAAAGCCGCCATGATTTCTGATCAGCTGCCTCAACTGAATTTTTTCGCCATCTATAAATCATTTCTTCTTTGGGGTAGCCATCTAAAAATACAGAAACAATATTAAAATTTTGTAGGTTTATAAAACTTTAAAGTCAAAATTATAATTCACTTAACAAGAGTTAAAATTTTAGGCATTATTCTCCAAATTTCTTCAAATACACAGCCACCAAAATGAATGAACAAAATACACCTTTCCTACCTTCCTCCATTCCTCAGAGTTTAGTCCACCCAGATCTCGGGATGACAGATTTAAGAAGGCAGTCATTCCAGGATTTGTGAGGAATGACAGCCTATGTTTCTCTGGCATCAATTTCCAGTTCTGATCACTGAACTTTGACTTTTTCCTGAAACCAGTTACCATCCTGTCAATTACTCCAGGAAGCAAGATGTCCTCATGTTTCTGCTATCCCATGCTGGCAACATGTGTAGAGAGAAGCTACACTCATTCTAGCTGGAGCAGTGCCCTAAATCCAAACCAGTGAATGACCATTTAATGCCCATGTCTAAGCTCTTGCCTCCCCTCGGCTGAACAGACCTTGGGACACCATCGACTCTGGGCTGAGGCTTTCTGACCTGATCAGAGGGCTGACCTGGCACATTGACTTCTGTGTTACTGGTGTACACCATGGGGCATATTCTATACAAAATAAAACAACTCTAGATTCCCTGTTGTCACCAAATACAGGACAACTCTTCACTGACTCCTCCAGAGTCTGATGGTAGAGGGAGGAAACACATACTCTACCTTCATGAGTTATCTTGAATAAAAAAGCACTATATTAACTCACACATATTCATGTTAACACATTGACAAAGTGACTGAAAATTTCTAACTAAACAGATCAATTTTCAAAACTCTTAAAGACAACGACACCACATTCATTTCCCATGTTTACCCATTATTGCCAGTATGGTTCCTCCATTCAAAGACTAAGATGGAGCACAGGTGTGCCTTCTGGTTTCCGACAGTGGATTGTTTTGTGAAATTGTTGTCAAATCGCAGTGATACTGGCTTCCTCAGAACCTGACAGTGTTGCTCTCCATGCTCTTAGGCTCAGCCTCATAAACCAACATCCTGGGAGAGCCTGTGCTGTAAACTCCAGCTGGATGGAGAGAGCAGCCTTTGGTATCCCATTTACATCGGGGTCCCCTGCCTTTCTTCTTAGTTGTTCTTCTATGGACTCTGCCCACTCAGACCTCTTCCTGGGTGTACTGTTGCTAAATCAACTTTACTTTGACAAGACATGGCTTTGAATTCTTTCACCTAGTCAAGGACCCAAACCCAGAAACAACAGCAGTCTCGAAGGACTAGCACATTACATTGTACAGTACTTAATAGGATTCCAGGTTATAGTAATTTCTTCGTAATGCCCACCACAGTTTGTCCTGTGGTTCCAAAAATTACAAAATTACCTCCCTTTCTCAAAGTGTGGTGTTGAAAGATTTTTTTCCTCTCTGGGCTGGGCTCTCTGGCAGGAAGACTCACTGATTTGCAGCTATGCCATGACAACATGGTTGACCTTGAAGGACCTCCTTTTTCACCCTCACCTGGGTTACTCTTCTCTCTGTTCTTTCAGCCTCAGATAAAGCAGGTCAAGAGGAAGCAACTTTAGAAAAGAATTACACTCTGCAAAGCCTTTTGTCTGTGAAAAGTGGTATTTGTTTTGAATGATGAGAGTTGAGTGGTAGCTTCCTTGTCTTTTGCATTTGACCCACTTTGCTTAATGTTTAGAGAGAAAGAAGATGACATTGATTTAAAAGATGCAACACGACGCTGTCTCCAAATGTATTTTTATTTCTTTGAAAGAAAAAAAATAAATTCTGCTGTAGTAATTGTGATCAATTTCTTGTCTGTCGTTGTTAAAGTGCTCAAGTATAATAATACTTTTCCTGATGCTATGAAAAACGATGTTTGCCGATGCAAATGTCACACAAATGCCCCTCAGCTTGGGTGCAGCTTCAGGCATCTATGACAATTTTACCACCATTGGGAGAGGAGGTCACAGCGATTAAGAGGTATTGTATTGCTGGCCAGTGTGCCGACTTCTGAACATTATAGGATTTATGGTTGGGGCACAAAACCTTCTCTCTACTGCTTAGAAACCATGTCAGTTTTTCCCTTAGCATTTTGAGTTCAGAGATTTCTCAACTCAATGATGTTGAGCACTGGGCAGTCCTGTATTATTAAATAAGGACTCTTGAATTGCAGTGTAGATTACTGCTGAATCACATGCAATGCATTATTTGCCTGGTTTCTAAAATGTAGGCACAGTACTCAACCTCTTCAGGCATTATCTTTTTAAATGGGATGGGGGTAATTTATACCACTACTTTTGAAACACTGGGACTATAGAATTCACTTGGTAATATTATGTCTGACAGTTTTAAATGAAATATGGTAGGATGCATGAGAAGGGAATCATGTATTTACTTACATCTGAAGGCATCATATACAATCCCGGTAAAAAATCCCTGTGTTATTTACAGTATATACATCTATGTATATGTACCCTAATTCTGGAGAGATTGGGTGTGAAAGTTTGAAAGCCGCCATGTAGAGGTGAATTTGCAACTTCAGTACTTTCAGGAGCACAGAGAATAAATGTTAGATGCCCTGGGGCGAGCTGGATTGAGACAGGTAAGGGTGACCGAAGGTGTGGCCCTACCGACATCTGTGCTATTGCATGAATATGCCTGGAGTCACCAAATAGTTTGGTATTTCAAAAAAAAGGGCAGAAATGTGGACTTTTGTATGGAATCTCCTGGTCTTAATGTCAACAACTAACACTTTTTCTTCTGTTCTCCTCCCTTCTCTTTTCTTCCTTTTCATCTTTTTAAAGAAGCAAAATCTACCCAAGAGACACATGGTGTTATGCATTGCTGGTAAAGGTACTGGCCCCCGAATCGTGCTTTCTTTGTAAGGCCATTGTCAGACCGGTGAGATAGTAACAGTCAACCAGAAACTTCTGGCGAGTGATACAGTAAATGGGCTCTCAGATAAGCACTTGCGGATTTGCCTCCTTTGACAAATTTATGATGAAATTGGTTTTCCCCGACCTCTTAATTGTCTGTGGGTTTACTTTTCTCTCTCCTTTCCTTGCAGTTTCTCTTCTTTTGACAGGTTTAGGGTCAAAGAAAGGAAATCCCAAACAAAAGCAAATAGTGAGAGAGCTGGCCGGCACCGACTTCTCTTCTTCCCTGTGCTGCCCCCTGCACCCTGCCCATTACTCTTGCTGATTCCCCATTTTTGTTTGTCTTTGTGTCAATAAAGGCTGGTGCCCACTGGTCTCCATCCCAGCACTAACTTTTATTCCCTCCCTTTTGTGGCCTCTAGCTCACCTCCCCTTTTCTTTGTTGAACATTGTATAAATAGCCAGTAACTTGCCAAAGAGCAGGACGGTGGGCTTTCGGACACGAGTCTGCTGCCCTCCTCTGCCCTCATCTGTCGACAAATAAAACCACTTTCCTTTTCCTCAAACTCTGTTTCCTTTTATTGGCTGAGGGAAACTGAGACTGGCGTTTGATAACACTAGTGGGGCTTTTTGCGTTACTTTGCAGGGGGAACATGTGTGTGTTTCATTTCTCACTAACAATGAAAGTTAAACTCATTCATAAATTTTAAATTAGCTTTGTTTGTATGACTTAATGACCCACAAAGTTGTAAGAATTTAAAAAGGAAAATTACTTTTAAGACTCTTGACTCAGAATGGGTGAAAATATCTGCCAATGGAATGGACAAGGGGCTTAGATCCAGAAAGGACTTTTATGCCTCAATGATAGACAAATAATTTAAATGGATACTTTTTCAATGAAGATATACATACGGCCAATAAACACACAAAAATGCTTAATAGCATTAGTCATTAGGGATCGATAACAAATTGCAATGAGTTACCATTTCACACCCACTAGAATGGTTACAAAAAAATCAGGGAAAATAGCAAGTCTTTGAGAGGATGGAAAAGCTGGAATGCTTGTACACAGTTGGTGGAATGTAAAATGTGAAGGTCATTTTGCAAGAAAGTTTGGCAGTCCCTCAATATGTGAGGCAAACACATCACTTCTCGGGGCATACCCAAGAGGAAGGAAACAAAAAAACCAAAGTGAACACAAGAGGTCATAGCAATAAATCAGCAATAAGTCACTAATGAAAATGTGGAAACAGCCAAACTGCACCAACTGGTGCAGGGACAGACACAGGCACTTCATCCTGATTCAACTGTATGAGCCACACAGAAGAGGCACATCTGGAGAAGTAGTGAGTAGATCTGTGGTTCCCTCGGGCTAGGTGGGGGGCCCAGGGAGGGAGTGACTGTTCAGTGAGTATAGGATTTCATTTTGGGATGAAGATAAAGTTATAAACTAGGGAGTGGTGATTGTTGGGGGTGACCAAATGCGGAGATTTACTGAGGGACTGGATTAGGGCAGTAATAAATCAGGCCTTGCATCCAAAGGTGATAAGGCGGTAATAAATTGAATTGGGCCTCGCATCCAATTAACAGGGTCTTGCATCCGAGATGGGACTAGATAAAGGTGATAACAAACTGGGCCTTACATCAAGGGACATAGCGATGAGTCACCCCTTTGGAATTTGAGTTTAAAATCTATATGAGACCCCTCCCCCCCATAGAGGTGGCAGTAGCTGTGGACCCTACTCTGCGGCTCTGTCTCAGCATCTGTCCGAGAGCAATAAACTGTTCAGCCTTTCTGCCTTCCGTCTTTCTTTCTTGCAGCCGGTCACAGAAGTTGGGGCAAAACAAATTGGTGCTGAAACCTAGGACAGCTGAGTAGAGCTGTCCTCTGAACCTCTTCTGTGGCCTGGTGTGCTTCTTTTCTCCTCTCATTCCTTCTCTTTGAAATGCACGTGTGGATGTGTGAGTGAATAAACAGCTCTTACAGGGGTCCTAGCATAAGGCTTGGGCTTGAATGGGATTGCATCCTTAGCCTGGAGACCCCAACGGCTTAGTGGAGAATTGGCCAGTAGCCCTAGGCTTGGCCAACCAGTCTCTTCCTCAGATCAACAGGCTCCCCTGGATACAG